ACACTCTCCTGGGTCCTAAATCAGCATTCCAGATGATTTATGGTTGGCTGGCTAAATATGTCATAGATACCTCAAAGCCCACTTGCATCAAAGTGAAATCATCATCTTCCCACGGCTTATCCCCCAAGCAAACATTAAACAATCAGAGCTCATCCATATTCCTGTGCCTGTCTCAAATAATTGGTATTGCTATCTACTCGAATGCTACAGTGGATCTAGGATTCATTTTAAGTCTTGTCTACCATGATGCTACTAGGATAATAATCTTTCAAGGGTGTAAATATGACCATGAAATTCCACTAATTCCATGAATTCCTGGTGCCTACAATAACCAGTTGAAACACCTGATGCTCAAGGTAGTGCTTGGTTCTTATATATTTTCACCAGCTTCTTTCGCCACCTTCACTCAAGAAACCTGCGATCCAGCCACTCTATTTGTCATTTCCCAAATATAAACCATACTCTCCTTAACTCGGGGCCTTATCAATGGCCTAATCTAGTCAGCTTCCCTCCACATCCCTGTCTCTCTTGTAGAGTCTTGTTCAATCTTTAAGGTTCAGTTCATGAACAGTCTCTTGACACAGACATTCACACCTGCCTTTGGGTACAGTGAGTTGCCTCCTTTTTCTGTTCCTATAATGCTGGGTGCACATATTGTACAAGCACTTGCTATATATAATAATTGTAGTGTATGTCTGTCTTTCCTATTATACTCTGAGTTCCTTGACATTAGCCTCATTCATACTTGTATACTCAGAACTTAACAGTGACTATTCTATTTGACGTGCTCTGTAATTACTTTTTTAAGTCAGCTATATATATATTTGAATCAGCCACATATATCTGTATGTGTTCCTAGTAACTGATTGGAACAAATGATGACATGGGTCTCTATGGCAAATTTCCCTGTAATGGCATTGGGTTGTTCCTTCATTTACTTGTTCCTTTTCTGCAGCCTGTATCAGTATTGCCCTTTGTTTCAAATTGATATTCAACTTTTCATATTCAAGAATTTACTGTCAACTCTATGATTCTGAAAGAACAAACCTGTGGATAAAGTGTTTAATTACTCACTGAGGAGTATGGATTTAGCTGGCTTTCTATTTCATAATGATTCATAGACTGACACCCCCAAAGAAGAGCTGCTTAGTCTTAATCTAAGTATAGATGAACTGCCTGCTAGGCAAACCAAGGGTCTATCCCATTCAGTATCCTAACACACTGCTAACTTACTGTAATTTATATAAAAACAAACAAACAAAAAAAAACCCTGACATTAATATACCTTCTGACAAGGGAAGCTGAGGTTTAGGGATTATTTTAGCCTGCTTGGGCTGCTGTAACAAAATACCACAGACTGGGTGGCTTAAATAATAGACATCTATTTCCTCATAATTCTAGAGGCTAGACGTCTGAGATCAGGGTGCCATCATGCTGAGGTCCTGTGAAGGACATCTTCGCTTGCAGAAGGGAGCCACTTGTATGCTCCTGTGGCTTTTTCTGAGTGTCCAAGCCTACAGAGAGAGGGCCCTGCCATCTCTTCCTGAGGCAATAACCTCATCTCTGGGGCCCATCATCATGACTTCATCTTAACCTAATTGCCTTCCAAGGGTCCCACCCCCAAATATCATCACCATTGGGGTCAGGGTTTAACATACGGATTTTTAAGCAGGGGACACAAACATTCATAAGTGAATGGAACCGCTCTCCTATGGTACTCAAATAAGTCAGCAGTAGAGCAAATGCTGATTCCAAATACTGTTTGCTTTTTTTTTTTGCCTAATCATTTGTTTGTATCAATTTTCATATATGGATGCGCAAATAATTAACATTTTAAACAGCTCAGTGGTAGTCGTCTCACTGGTGATTGCTGGTGTATTCCTCACACATGATCTTCCCCCATGCTTACTTTTCATATATGTTTATCCTTATTTTTTCAACTGTTTTAGTGAAAACAAACAATATAGGGTCTCTCTCCCTCTCACTCTTTAAAGTTTTCTCAGGGAAAAAAAAAAAAAAGAACTGGGCTCTTGGTGCTTCTGGCAATTTTAGTCTTAACACAAGCAGTGCCCAGATTGTAATTCTGATAAGTATTTCAGTTCTTTCTTGAAAAATTAAATTCACAAAACAATTGATTATCAGTTATAAATGGCAAAAACACCATCTGGTTTTCAAAATTGGTGAAATCCATGTAGCATGGGGAAAAAATGTTGGAACTTGTCATTGGCGAGAAGTCCTAGTCCAGGAAACAGAAAATGACGAGCTTTACTATGAGAAAGCCAGAGTAGTCATAACTTGTATTTAGCGGCTGCGGGGATTTGATACGTTCTTCACATGTTCCATATGTTAAGTCCCTTGGCGAGCTCTTCAGTGTGAACAAGCTGGGGGTGGGAGAGGAGTGTGGTTAGTCAATGGGGTAGCAACAGCTTAATCCCAGATTTTCTGGTTCTTTCCATGGAGACCCAGCACTAATGATTACTCATGACCTGGGAAATTGGGTGTTGCAAGTTTCTTAGGCTTATGACACAGGTGTCACTTTTGGTGGAAGATTCTAGTGCTGTTTGCATTTTTTCTGGTGAGGGAAGTCATTCAGCATTAGCATTTCCTACAGAAATGTCCCATGTTGTTCTTTGCCAACTGGAAATTTGAGTAGGTGTTGCTCTGATGTGCCAAGAGAATGAAGGGAGATGAAAACACTCCACATCTTCCAATGTCCCCATACTGTGTTCCTAGTGTGGGAGGACCGGGGCCTGACTACATTCGCTTGGAGATGCAGCTTCTGAGGAACGCTTCTCCTTGGGAAGATAGTGCAATCCTGTTATTTCAAAAAATATTCCTGAGTTGCTGGCATATTTTCACCTTTATGCTAAAAATGTAGCTTTCTTATGGTTATGATGATGCATGCATTGTAATGTGAAATTTATTCATTCACTTAAATATTTACTGAGTCACAGTATAGCATAGTGGTTAATTGCATAAGCTCTCTCTGCATCTTAGAAACTTTGACCTTGGGGCAATTTCTTAACCATTCGAACTCAATTAAAAACACACACACACACACATATAAATAGGAGATAATAATATTTTGTACCATGGGGTACTAAAGGATTAAATGAGATCATACATGTGAGATAAAAATTCAACAAATGCAAAAGTAGCAATAATAATAGCAGATATTAATATTGCCATGCATTGGGCTCTGTGCTAGAGTGCTGGACTTCCTGGCATATAGGAGCTTACTTTATAGTTTAAACAGGTCTTTCACTATACACATAGCCCTGAATTTTTTTGGTGGGACTCTAGAAGGTGGCATTATCCTGGCGACCCTGTCGGCGACCCTGTGGTGATGGTTTCCTACTTCACACAGTGCTGTTTGCCTGCTGGAGCTGCTGGGGATTCTGGAGGGCTTCCTGCAGTTCATGTATTGGGCCTGTAATTACAGAGGAGAATATCCGGGGCTGTGAAGACAGGGAAGTCTTGAAATTAGTTTATGCATAATGGATAATAGGAGGCTGTTTTTAAGTATAACTCATTTGGCGGGTTGGCAGATCTTGCCTTCCTTTTTGATATGTAACGTTTATTTTTTTATTTATTTTAGCGAGATGAGGACAGAGGGCCTGGCGAGTCACTCCGTGCTGCTCCTCTAGACTATAGCTCAGACTTAGCAATTTACATTTAGTCATCTCTTGGTCATTTAGCCACAGATAATTTGTCATAGTTTGTTTTAGCTGTTGTGATATTGATATTTATTATGCAAATTGTATTTCCTACATCTTATTGTTCTGCATTCTATGAATACTTAAATTATTATAAACCTTTACACTTAATATGGCTCGTCCTTCAATTTGATGCTTGAGCAACAGAGGGTCAGAGCACACACGATCTTCTAGAGGGGAAGAAAATAAGTAATTAAAAAGCAGACAAACAAGAGAGCCGGCTGCCTGGTTGAAAAGAAAGCAAAGGCAATTTCGGGGCGGGAGAGCGAGTCCGAAGAGAGCAAGTGCCTTCTGCTGGGAGCGCCTCTCCCAGAGACCCAAGGAAGCTCTAAGCACCTGTTGGTCCCCGGCCGCTTTCGGAAGCCCTGGGGCTGAGGAAGAGGGAGCATTGGGTTTGAGTCCTAAAGGAGGAAGATGGCAGACCCGGCCTCCGCCCTGCACCAGATGCCTAAACAGAACTGATATTTTAAAAAAGTGTGTGTAATATGTGCTATGTACATTAAATACACATATATATTAGAGCCGGGAGGGAGACTTGCAGCAAGCTGGGGAACCAGAACCGACCTTCCTCAAGCTACCCTTCCCCAGAATCTACCGCAAAGGCAGCGACTCGAAAATCCCAGAGCCCTCCTCTGGCTCCTTTCTCCAACTATGCCCAAGTCTACCGCTAGGTTGTTGAGCCGGCTCTCCCGCTCCGCCGGACGTGCAAAGCACGCATGCACTTCTCCCAGATTGTTTTGTCAATCCGGGGACCTGCATTCTCACTCTTCACTCCCGAACAGCCCTCGTTTCCCAAAGATCTATTCCTTCGGTGCAAGGTGAGTGACGGAAATTTGCAATATCTGATTTCCAGGCCACAAGTACTCGGTGTGGTGTACCGGGCCGGGGAGCCTCCTCCAAGGGAGCTCCTCCAGTCGTCGGTCTGATGAAGCGATTGCTATAAACATTCCTAATAAAGGTGTACTGGAAGTAGACCCGCCCCCTGGAGCCCGAGCCCCAACACGCCATGAGCCCAGGAGAACACTTTTTCCTTGATCCGGGGTAGCGAAAACGAATATAACATAAACATATTTGCATACGCCCCTCCCTCTGGCCCCGCCCCCAGGTGGCGCGGGCGCGCAGCCGAACGCCAGCGCCAGGGGGCGGGATGGGGGAGGGGGCGAGTCCTGGGAGAGCTGGGCTGGGCTCGCGGCGTTGTGATTGGTTACGCCCGACTCCGCCTTCAGTGCATGTCATTAGCATCTCATTAGTTGTCCGCTCGGGCTCCGGAGGAAGCCACCGCCGCCAGTCTGAGGCAGGTGCCCGACATGGCGAGTGCTGTGCTGCCGAGCGGATCCCAGTGTGCGGCGGCGGCGGCGGTGGCGGCGGTGGCGGCGCCTCCCGGGCTCCAGCTTCGGCTTCTGCTGTTGCTTCTCTCTGCCGCGGCACTGATCCCCACAGGTAGGTGTGGGCACTGGCCGGCTGGCCCCCTAAATCTTGTCAGGCACCCTAGTAGCCGTAGCCATGGAGGGGGGAAACGTTTCTATGACAACCTTTCCCCACTTCCTAAATCCGAAGCTGAGGGAGTGTGGAGAGGAAACTCAGGGCTGAGATGGAAGAGGCTGAGCGGAATTTACACCAGCGGAGTGTGAAATAGAGCCCTTAGGGATGGCTGCACCCACACCTTTTTACCCGGCTCCGCGCGGGGTGCGGAGTGGAGTGAGAATGGGGAACCCGAGGGCTGGATGATATGGGGGGAAGGGGTGGATCGAAGACACCCCCAAACCTGCCGGACCCTCCCAAACTCGCTGTTGTACCCGTAACTTGCAGGTCCTCTCTTTTCCCAGAGCTGCCCCTTCGCCTTTCCCTCTCCGGCGGGCCCCCCGATTTTCTACCCCTAGCCTCCCCATGGCTGACTGGCTGCCGCCTCCAGCGTGATTTCTCACTGGTCCACAGGACATCCCCAGACTTGTCTGCTCGTTCCTGCTCTCCTCGAGCTTTGCCTTTCAACCCCGTCCCCCGAACTGCGATACCCTCGCGTCTCTCCTCAGCGGAATCGCAGCCCCTCGGTCCCCCCCGCCCCGTTGCGGGTCTCCTTGGCCCGACTCCAGGCTGGGAAAGTTCCCCGGGCCCTGCCCCGCAGGGGGCGGTTGCTGTCGCCGCCTCTGCGGGAAAGAGCTGGTAGCCCGCAGCCCGCCTGCCCCGCGGCGTCCTCCGCGGCGAGTGGGGGACTCGGGGTTTCCAGGTTGCGGGTCCCCGTCGGCAGCCCGGGAGTGCTGGAGGGAGCCATCGCGGCCTCTGCGGCCAGGCGGGCACCCTGCGGGCCTCCGCGCGCCCCCTGTGCGCCGAGCCGCCTTGGGAATTTGCGGAGGGGCGTCTCTGCACGCCCGGCGCCTTCCGCGGAGACGCTGAGCACTCAGCAGGAGCACGATGTGTGACCAGCCCGTGTGCCGGCGCGCTGGCGCGGTCGGGAAAGAAGAGGGCAGTGTTTGCTTTTGCTAACAAAAGGGAGCTGGAGCTCTTCCCCAGCGGAGAGGCCGGCCGTGCTGCACCCTGCCTCCCCTTCCCGCCACCGCGGCGCTCGGCGGCCGCGCGGCGTTCCCGCGCCGCGGGGCTCCCCGCTGCGGGCTCCGGGCGCGGAGTCGCGACCGAGAGGCGTGGGGTCGGGGAGGTGGGGAGGAGGCGCAGGAGGGCGTGCAGCGGGGCTCGGCGCCCGCAGAGCCCCTCCTTGCTGCTCGCGAGCTGCAGGACCCGGGAGCAACAAGTGGCGGAGGACGCCGACAGCTCAGCCCCCACCTGCGGATCCCCCGGCCAGGGCGGGCGCGGGGCTGGGGCCACCCAGCTTCTCCCCCGGCGCCTCTCCGCTTGGGCTGCGCCTTTTGTTTACACGCTAGAGGACACACAGTTACGTAAACACCGCAGGAGGCACGCTGTAGGAAATGGGGGTGTCTGGGGGTGCTAGGTTCAGATTTGGGGGTTGCCAGGTTGGTGGCATCCCTTCGCTCCCCGTAGAGCTTGCGGGGAGCTCGGCTTGGGGAACCTAGTGAGGATGGGAGGGTGGGAGTGTGGCGGTAGCTTCAGTTCCACAGCGCTGGGGATTTTTTTCTTTCATGCCACTGCCTGTCTCCGGATGTTGTTTGTGTTTTTTCCTCTGTGAATTCTTAATTTATGAGTTACGAGATAATTGGGTCCAGCCGACGCCGGTGTGGTTACAACTTCATTTCGGGTGATGTGTCTGACTGGATGGGTTCAATAAACGTTGGGGAAAGAGATCCCTCGTGCTGCTGCATTGTAAAAAGCGCCAGTGCCCGTTAAACGTGAGCGTGAGTAAAAGGCTCTGTAACTGGCGCATAATAGAGGCAACAATAGACTTGTATTGGCCGCAAAAAAAAAAAAAAAAAAAAAAAGCGGGAGGGGGGAGGGGAGCTCTGGTCGAGGCTGTTGCCTTTCGACTGAAAATGCGAGCCGAGCGTGCAGCAGAGTAGGGTCGGAGTCTTTCTCCACTCTCGAGCCTACTCTGCTCATTGAGGGCTCGGGGTAGTAGCAGCGGTACTATATTTGTAACTATCTCGCGGCGAGAAGTTGCCTTCCCAGCGAGGGATAGATGCTGACTTCGAAAGGAGCTGTCTGGAACTCAACCGTGCATGTCAATGCTACAAGAAAATTCTGTTGCCAGTTACCATGGAAGCAGCTTCTTGAGCTTGTGTACATCCCTGTTTGTACGCTGGTTATCAGATTGTGTTCAAATTAGAAAGTAATTGGGTGTGATTTGTAGTGGGGGGGTGGCGACTTTCTTTAAATTTTTTTTTTTTTTTTTTGCATTTAAGGCATTTTGTTTCGCGTTGAGTTAGAGAAGGGGTCTTGGCCTCGCCCCACATTAGGGATTTATTTGGAGAATACATTTTACGTGGCGACCGGGAGACTTCTTCCTTAGACCTCTTAGTTTAAGCTTTCTCCGAGGCTTCCAGTTCCCACTCTCAGGATTAGGAAACCTGTTGGTTTCCTACCTTCCTACGTCATTAGGCTTGTTCGTTGACATCCTTCCTGGGACAGCCACCTAGGACTATTGGGCAGTAGCACCCCCCACCCCCAATCTATCCATTGTGGGGGGGGAACTCCCATCCCTGCTGTTATGTTTGGCTGAAACGGGTGTTAAGGAAATGCAGCTAAAATGGGGTTGTCCAGGCGTGCTCTTCCGTGTAAATCGTGCCTGTCATGGTTCAGGTGCATCCATGATGTCTCCCTTCCCGAGTGCACCTAGGCTGGACACCCTGCTCTTGCCTTTTTCAGGAGTAGAAAAAGGATGTCTGCTGGATGAGGGCTGATGGTGTGCTGGAAGCTGGAGCTGAGTTTTCCCGTTGTGGCCTGCTGTGGCTGGAGCTCCAGGATAGGGACTTCACAAAAGTGCCTCCTGCTATTGTTGCCTTTCCCTGCATCAAATTGAATAGCCACAGGAGGGACTTGCACTTGTCTGTGATAGCTTTGATAAAATATCCCTCATTAATGCCACTTTATATTTACAGTGTGTCACTGAAGACGCACAAGGCTTCATTTAGTGACTTGTGTGACGAGACAAGCTTGCATTATTTGCCTGGGACGTTTCGGAGGAACAAGAGACCCATTGAGCAATCTTTTGAAATGTACAAATACGGAAAAAGGGGGGAATAAAAGAGCAGGCAGTTCTCTGGAACAAAGAGCTTTATTCATATGGATGTTGTACATGCTTTCTCCAGTTCTCCCCAGTGGCCCTCCTGGTGAAGGGGATGGGACCAGGAGAAGCCCATGGTCAGGATGGTAGGGCTTCCTCTCTCATTTCCTGACCCCCATACTCTATGGACTCCCTGACTGCTTATCTCCCGCTGCTCCCTCTAACACCCCAGAAGGTAACGGGGTTTCTGGCGCTAAGGGAGATTTTGCAGCCCTTTCTTCCGGCTCTGAATTTCAGTAGAAGAAAGTCTAGCTACCTGTTGAGATTGATGCTCCGGAGGATACATGGGTTGACATGAAAGAGATGTCACTTTTCTATGACATGTGTCGAGAAGTAGTTGATAGCGAATGTCAGATTGGTAGGATGTCTTGTAATTATAGTATTAGCCTTACTATTTATTTTTAAAGACGTGTTTTAAGAACTAAAATCCAACATTTTCACTATTGTTAAGGAGCTCTTGGTGTTTTTTAGTGACTTTTGCCTACACCTGGTACATTTTAGCTCCATACATTAAGTTAATTTTTATTATTCCTCTACCTAAGTTACAAAATGATTTTCAGGCTTTAAAAATTTCATAATATTGCTGTGAATGTAAGCTGTCTTATTCTCTGGGTTTTTGTATGTGGCATTTTAATGCCTAATCGGTCACTTAGAATTAACATTTTCAAAATGTGTGTGTGTGTTTAACAAAAGACCCATTTTTGTGTGTGGGGATCTTTTAAATTGGATGAAACTAATTGAATGGAAATTACCAGCATATGAAGAAAATTTATCAGAAATAAGTCCAAAGGATTCAAATGCTGTATCTCTTTTATTGGGAAGAATAGTACTGACCATTATGCTGGGTGTTTTTAACCGAAAATCCAGCACAGAAAGGAGAAATCACACAGCGACATCTGTTGCAGAATTGAAAATTTGCTGCTTTGAGTTGGAAGCAATTAGTCCTATATAAGCACTTAATGGCATGTGTGTGTGTGTGTGTGTGTGTGTAAAAACATGCACATATGTCTATATATCCATGCACTTATGTATACATGTCTGAGTGCACATATATAGAAACTCACCCAATACAGTCCTCATATTTACATTTAAAAGTATTTAATAGAACATAAAGCATTTTAGCACCAAAACACTTTTTCTTAATATTACCTGTTCAGGAATTCTTATGATTGGGGAATTTCTGAAAGGGGGAGGACATTAGAAATCATTGGTAAAATTCTATTCTTTTGCATTGAGAGAGCCGAAGCCCAGAGATGGAGAACCTTGTTTTCAGGCGGATCCCAGGCTTAGGTAGCACGGATCCTGGATGGGGAACAGGTCTCTTGATGTCTGGCCAGGAAACCTTGTGTTCCATCTCACTGCGGGGATGCCCTTTGAGGAGTGTGGATCCTTGCTGTAGACAACCTCTTGGCCAGGAGTAGTTTGAATTGTGAAGGCCGAGATTAATTGTTGCTCTAGGTAATAAACCTTTGGATCATAAGAGTGACCTCTGGGAAAGGACCCGTTCTTGGTGAGGTTGTCTTTGGTGTTGACAAACGATTCTAAAGCCTCTGGACTTCATTTGGCAGCTGCACTGCAAATGCCGTCCAAAGTACCTTCATAGGGGAGAGCCCTGGGTTTGTGTCGCTGTAATAACTCAAGAAGTGCAAAACGCAGGCTCCAGTAAGCGTTTCACTTGTTTTTTTTTTTTTTTTTTTCTTTCAGGATTACCATTAACAGTTAAACTGAATAACTAAGGAAAAAAAAAAAGGAA